GTGTGTGTGTGTGTGTGTGTATGTGTGTGTGTGTGTGTGTGTGTGTGCTCTCGTCCTCAGTCCTCAGCTCTGCAATGGTAATTAACATAATCTATTAGGTTGTAATTGCAGGTTGTCTGAGGCAGTGGCTGCCCACGGTCGTCCCTCTTCCTCTCTCCTCCTCCCTCCGTGCTCTAGGTAGGAGGGGCCTCAGCCAGATCAGCTGACTTCGGGTTGAAGAGGGAGGAAGGGCTGCAGGGCAGTGAGCACTGACTGGCAATTGAGTAAACACCTCAGTAAACAATGAGGTATTTACAGGTGAGGCTTGTGGGCTGGCCACCTGTTACCCACTTTACAGTGGCTGGTATAAGCCCCTGCCCCAGGGTCCCTGCTGGTAGGTAGGCCTCCGGTTCAGGGCTGCTCCCAGTACAGGTGGCCTTGCTCCGTGACTCAGTTTCCTCCCCAGCACCCTGCATCCTACCCTGATGGTGCTGTGGGAGGGGTTAGAGACTGACACACAGCACCTGTGTTCTCTCACTGGAGGGCTGGGTGGGAGTCAGTCTCTCCCCATTGCCAGGACAGAGGACAGGGCTGGGCCTGACTCCTGGGAATGGGGCGGGGGGTCCTGTCAAGTCTACTGGGTGTCTTGGTTGAAATGGGGAGGGCTTTAGACCTCAGGGGGATCAGCCTGGACTGCCCTGCTTCAGAGCTCCCATGCCACACCACGCCATGCCACAGGAGAGCCTTGATCTAGGGTGATAACAAAAAGGCAAGAGTGATGTTTTTGTTCCTTTCCACGCTCTGGATTTTTCTTAAGACATATGACCTGTTGGCCAAATGATACAGCCAGTACTCAGTACACCAGCTGCATGCAGTAAGCACTCAGTGCGCGCTGGCTGCACAGCAAACAGTGCCTTCTGTGCACATAGAGGGTACTCAGTGTTCATTAGTTGGTACTCAATGTAGCCGCTGAGTCTGTAGAAGAAGGAGGGACTCCATGGTGGCTCATGTCCCTGGGAAGGAGTTCCAGATGACATCCCTAATCATCTCTCAATTTGGGCATCGTAGAGCAACAGATGTTCAGTGATCCCCGAGACCTGGTGCCAGCTGGATGCACTTTGCTCTCTCCTGCCCTCTACCAGGACAGATGGCTAACTGTGGTGCCTGTTGGCACACCAAAGTGCATGCTAGTGCCAGGCGCACTCAGTACCCATGACACCTCTCTGCTCTTCTCAGCTCCCTCCCCACCCCCTATACTAAACCTGTCCAGCCCAGCCTTCACTTCCCTCCCAGCTCCTGATTCCCATAAAAACCTTCCATTTCAGCCTTGTGTGCTCTTTACCCTTTTCCTGGTCCTCTGCTCTTGGCTCCTGTGCAGGCGCTAGTTTTCCAAATACTACTTTATTTGGGGGTTCTGTAAAGCTTATATCTCCCCTCCAATCCCCCAAACCCAGGTAGGGGAGAAAGAAGGTTTTATGGGAAAGGGACATGGCTCTCTTCTCACTGGGTAGGGTTGTGGGATTCTTTCGAGGCCAATAGCACCAACATCTGCTGTCAGGAAATTCAGAAGTCCAGGCCACCAGCAAACCAGCAAACAGCAAACGCAGCAGCAGGATGAACCAGCAGCAAGCAGTCCCCCTTCGACTCCTCCAAGCTGCTGCGCCTTCTTCCTCTGGGCTGTCCCGTATTTATACCCCTCAAAGTCCTCAGAATTCAACTAACTCCAGCTGGCAAAGACCATGCTCTGCACGAGACAACGGGTATGGACTCACTAAAATCTCTCACTTGGGATTACAACAAAAACACGTTTACATATCATGAACCAAAATGTCCAATCCACTCCTGGTTCTTTGTCTTGCCCTCTCTCTTCTGTTCCTCTCTTGCTGTCCTCCAGCTCTCCTCTTACCAGCCTGGTCTGTTCTGCTGGCCATGTCCAGTCTACCACTTTCTTCAGCTGCCTATGGCTGTTCTGTCCCTCATATCCACAATAAAAACCTTCTTCTCAACCATACCTTGGAGTGATCATGTCCTTATTTTTATTCACTCTCCATTTGCTCTGGGAACCTGCAGCCTTATTGAGGGTACACCCAGGCAGCCAAGTGGCCAGCTGGCATGCCACAAGAGCCCAGCCTCAGGGGGATGGGGACAATGGTTCCGGTGTGCCTGAACTGCTCAGTTAAATGCTCTAGCCAGGACAGGGTCGTGTTGTTGGTGAGATTGAGACTGAGGGCTTCCTGGTGTGGGAGAAGACAGGAGATGGAGGTATGGGTAGCATCAGGGAGTGAACCATGAAGGCGAGGTTCTGAACAGGGACAGGCCTGGAACTCATGAATTTTGTTCTGGGTAGCAGCTTTATTTGTTTTACGTTAAATTAATTAATTATTATTATGTCACTATTATTTTACTCAGGAGGCAGACACAGGTGCATCTCTATGAGTTTGAGCCAACCTAGTCTACACAGCAAGTTCTAGGCCAGCCAGTGATACATAATGACACCTTGTCTCAAAAAGGTATATATATCTATAAAAACATACATGTATTAATATACTTATATACATATACCTCTCTCTCTCTCTATCTGGTGCATATGTGTGTGTGCGTGTGTGTAGGTCAGAGGAAAACCATGGGAGTCTGTTCTCTTCCACCATGTGGGTCCCTGGGCTCAAGCAAGCCAGTCCAGGTGATGGTTTTTGGTGATGTTTTAGAAGGCTCTTCCCCTACTGTCAGAGGTCGGTGGGGAGGGCAGAGATGGGAGGGTCTGACGAGGGAGGGCAGAG